AGGGAAATTAAATTTATAATTATAAAAAAATTATATTTTAAAACGAAGTGTATCCACTTCGCACACAAATAAAACAAAAACAATAGAGCAAAAGTAGATACATTAAAGTCTCATCACTGTATGCGGTGCGGATGAATAAAAAATTTCAGATTGTCAATAGATCTATTTACTGAGATATAGGTTACGCTGTGTGATTTCCCACGCCCTTTTTTAACATAATAACAATGGATTGTCAAGGTGCGGCTGGATAAACCCGGGCAGCCATTTCCCTACCAAATATGGAGTGAATTCCACGTGACAGCGCAAATGGATTAAACCCGGAATGCACTATCGGTAATAAATCGACGTAAGTTTTAAATTTGCAGCCTGATTGCTTAAAAACGGCATATTTTTTTTTATAGTACAACAAATCGGGTGACCAATTTACTGCTGTTATATTGTATGTAATATATCATTTTTTTTCTTAATGTAAGTGTCACGAAGTTTTCTGAAACGTTTTTCTTTCATTAAAAAAAAAACAAAGAAGGAATATCTTACCAGCGTGGAAATCTTTCAATACCAAACCATTACTGATTAGGTAAGTACAATATCTAAACAGTAAATTATTTTATCCCAAATTATTATTTTGATGCGATATCCCAAACATACTTTTGTGCCGTCTTAATGACGACAAAATAACTAAAATGATGTACTTAATTTAGTAGTATACTCGAATCATCTGGCTGGATGATGATCCCAATGCTAGCACTAATAAAACTGTTAATTGCAATTCTATGTGCGATGAATCACATCATGTGCTTGTCTGTGAAAGAAAATATCGTGAGGAAATCTGGGATATAATTGACTAATGCGAAGATACGTGAATTGCCAATAAATTAACAATGGGTTCGTTTGGTTGACATTAACGATGTCATTAAACTCTCTTTACATCAAAGGTCTCTGTCAAGTAGTAGGATTTATAGGCTGTTACTTTATTTTACTTTTATGTGTCACCAAATCGAAGAAGATGAAAAAATAAAAAGATAGTGTGGCAATAAATGATCGAGCGGTTTTGACCACAGATTATTCCGAAAATACGTTCTTGAGTGGTAGCCTTGTACTGACCATCGCAGTGTGCCCCCTTCTATTCTCTTTCTTCCGCTTCATGGAACCATAACAAGAAAAAAATATAAATGATCTTAATTTTGTGAATATTAGCTCGGCAACAAATGAAATAATCGATAGTTTGTTTTCGCCTTAATGGTTCACGCTTAGTCGAGCACGAGGACTGTTAATTTTTGATCATCGTCTACAATGATACTGTAACGGAATTGCCATGATCTGTAAAAATAAGCTGCCCTTTCTCTCGCTATCATGGTTAATCAATAAATATCGTCTATTTTAATGGTTAATGCTTGAATTGGCAAGCTGCAACGAGGAAGTACCACAGCCTCACAGAAGTTTTGTCACACACACAGTATGAAGTTTTGTCTGGTGAATAATGTAACTGGAGACTATATTTTTAAAGACACCTACTAGCCATGTAGATGTCCATGGGTGGCAGTATTCACTTCACACTAGGGGAACCGCTCGCTCCCTTAAATTTTGTTTTCATTAATGAAAATACTTTCCAAAACAAGAACAAGTTCATCCGCCATAAACAAGTTCATCCACCGCGCAACGGGTGCGCAGTGGTATCAACGCAACGTCGACCTACACAGTGGCTGCAAGCTCCCAACGATTCACGAACATTTCAAAGACCTAACTAAACGGTTCTTCGATAGAGCCGACCATCATCCCAACCCTCTGGTGGTAAGGGCAGCAAATTACGAGTAACAACCCGACTCTAACGCCAGGGTTAATAAGCGTCGGCCGCGCAACGCCTCATCGACCCGGTTGAGCAAGGGGACCTAAGTACGTCGAACCCGCCATCGTGGGTCCCGACAGATGACACTCCTTAGCTAACGCACGCATGCCACATGCGCGGCCCTACCCACTGTGGAGGGCCTCAAACCCGTGGGTTTTGGCTAGTCCACCGGTTCTGCTTTCGATGGAGCTTTAATAGTCTCGGGACTGAGAACGTTAGCATCAGTTAATACAAGATACAAGACTTTCAAAAACCCTCTGAACCAAGTAAAAAAAAACTCTGTGGTAGGTGTAAGTGGTGCGTTCCTGATTCCGGAACCATTCTAAATTCAAAACGAAAGGAAGGAAAGGTTTCATATGATGGTAAAGAACGACCGCAACCTAAGAAGAAAACGGAGCTGTTATATTACTTTTATTTGCTTGGATAACTTACAGCTAATTTAAAAAAAATAATATGATTATAACGAAAATTATACCATTTGCAAGTTTTCACTAATACAATATTTTATAAGATATATACAAGTATAGGAAAATAACAGCACACCTACATATATTAGGTACAGAAAAAGAACAAAATGAACAAAAAAAAAGAATTTATGAAAGTGAACGCCAATAATATAATAAATCAATATCTACCTATGTTATGAATGTCTTGTAGTACTAGAAGATCATCAAGAAGATTAAAAGAAGATACAGGACTCACAATTTTAAAGAGGAAAGAGAGATTTACAATTTTTATTCACTGATATAAAAATTGTAAATCTGGCGATGTGCCGGCCATATAGCTCGTAGAACCGATAACCGTTGGGGAAGAAAGGTTCACGAGTGGCAGCCTCGTACTGGCATTCGCAGTGTAGGACGACCCCCCACTAGATGGAGTGACGACCTGTGCAAATGTGCGGGAAGTCGATGGATGCAGGTGGCTCAGGATCGTACTTCGTGGCAGTCTGTGGGGGAGGCCTATGTTCAGCAGTGGACTCAAACAGGCTGAAATGATGATATAAAAATAATATGTGAATTTTCTACCATCGTAGAGTGTAGTATATGTTGTAGGTGCAAGTGCATTCAAAATGTATGTTTCAGTTGCCAGTCACAGTGAAAGTAAAAATAATAAAAAACTGCTGTTATGTGAACTATTGTCATTGTGCTAAAAATCTGGGGTTATGCGATTTGTAACTTAATTATTGACCATAAAGATTGTCGTAGATTTAATGGTACAAAAGTATTGTTTACATTAGTTAAGTTGAAGCGAGAGAGTACCGCTCTAAATTGTCTCTGGGTCGAAATTACTATATGTTGACTTCTCACAGAAAACAGAACCTTATGGCTGTTCTCGTTTACCATAAAAAGACGACAGCATATCCCTCCCTGCGAGCCTTGTTTGGCCAGAAATCGAGTCGGCGCATTTCCAGTCGTAACTGCCCTACAAGTCCACACATCACAAATGAGTTTATAAGTACATGCCTCTTAACTACGTTGAATTTATAGGTAATTAAATTAAATCGTACCTTAAATTATTGAATATAGAAGAGTATCGCAATACCAATAAATTAATGATACTACCTAACAAACACGGTTGGTAAGAATGTTTTTAAGCAGCCAACGTTTACCATGAAAATTTCAAGTATGATGCTAAATGACGTTTCTTTGTTCTTAAATATCCCGCATTCCTAACATTTGAGACACTGTTACTATTAATTATATTACGTTAAATAGTACTGATATACTTTTAACACAAATAGATATCAATCATTTAATATTCATCATGTCTCTTCTCATACATATTTTACATTCAGTTATCATCATCAAGGATAAGGTAAAAATTAGTATAAGAAAATGAAACAAAATGGTTTTTACTTAATATAGGCACCTAGTCTCCACGATGTAAGATAGATAATGAAGCATAAGGGCAGAATCAACTTCAATTCTCATTTAATGTAGTATTAATATTTGCATATAAATTTGTATTAAAGTGCATACATAATTATTTTATAGCACTTCACTCTATAGCCTCATTTTTAGTGCACGTATTTTCCTTGTACTTCATCGTTCGGACTTTTTTTAATGTGAAAAGGTGACAAACGAGCCGAGATTGCGGATTGCATGATTTTAAGTGAAACCTGATAGACCTTATGGTATACTGCCACTTAAAGCCGGTCTTCTGTGAGGTCGTGGCACTTACCCAGACGGACCTGCACATTCGTGCAACAACTAAAACCATACCACTTTAATTGGTTATTTTTACCTAACAAAAAATAAATAATCTATGTATTTCATTCTTTGATAAATTACATAATTAAATTCTTAGAAGGGTCCAGTTGAAATCGATTAATAGATAAACTATATTGTTTTATAGAGAAAAGTCAAAAGTATAAAAACTGCAAAAATCATATGTCATAAATGAAAGTAACTCTTCATGAAAAATGTACAATGTTTGGATTAAGTGGACAATGATGTTTGAATATTTTTGTGTCCTAGACTAAATTAAGCTTTGATTATCTTGACATGTATAATAATGTATAATGGTGTAAATGTTTTAATGTATAATATTATCAAAGAAATTAAGTAAATATGCCAATACCTATGACCATATTGCGCCATCTGTTAGTCACAAAGTTAATTTATTTACACTTTGTTGCCATATTAAATAAACTAATACTAATGATATTGTGAGTGTGAAGGGAACATTACTTGTATCCAAAACAGCCCTCAGAACAGATTTTTTAATTATTGGAAACATAACTGCAGAATGTAACGAGATATCACTTTAAAATTATTTTCGAGCGCTCTCTAAAGGAATAACTTGACAAGCTTCTAAATTATGTTTAATCTAAAGCAAATATGAAAATATAAGTTTATTTCAAATATTTACTGGGAAATTTAAACAATATTTTGTAGGGAAATTTTCAAACTATAATTTAAAAAAAAAACTCTTGCCTTAAAAAAAAAGTAAACAGCTGCCTCAGCCCTCATTTGATACCTACAGATGTCAAGTTGATCTGTCATTCTTGTATTTCTGTTTATTTTATAGTATAGGAAATTTAAAGATAATCGCATATTGAAACATTAATTACGAGCAAATGACTTTCGGAACAAATCACGTAGATAATTTGAACGCTTGTTTTGGAAGCAATGGAAATTATATGTTTAGAACTATGACAGAAAATAGGTATTGAATGCGCTGTTTATGTGTAAGTACTGATTTGTTTCATTTTCTCTAAATTATGTGAATAATTTCAGAAAACGATCTCGTGAGGATGACGCTTGTGAATTTATGCCGCTATCGAAAAGGATAAACAACCTGCACATAAATAACAACCTGCACATAAATAACAACCTCACAAGTCCACCTGTTTCCCAATCTGCGGAACGTAGTCATATTAATGGAATTGGAGTAAATACAGATGCATCCGTTGCGAATCTCCAAAATTCAGAGAGAAGGCCAAGTTACGATCCTGGAGTGCCTTCTTCTCAAAGCAGATATTATTATGAAAATAAATTATTGTTTGAACTGCATTTAGAGAGAATACAACGATCAGGACAACAGTTTCCTTTTTGAGATGATTTAAGTGTGTGCATAATATTATTAATTTTCGTACCTGTGTTAGTATAACTACTAGTTATAAATTATTTTAGGTTAAATAAATATAAATATGTTCATTTAAAAGTGTAAGAGTCCTTACTATATACCATTCCCAAAAATGAAATTATTGACTTACGAAATAGTTATTTTTTTAATAGGTACTAAATTGTTTAATTTCCTATGCAAAATTGTCATATCACAAATGAATTTGATTAAATATTAAGAAATAATGATAAAATTTAAATTTTTATCCTACCAAAAATATGTTAGATGAATCTTCGTTAGGTACCTACATATTGTCTGATAAACTTGTTATGTGATTTCCATATTTACCAATGAGAAATGTGTATTGTGAAGCCAAACCAATCATGTAGTAAAGTTAGAGCGCCATCTGGTGATCAGAGTTCTAAACGTCAAAACAGTAATGGCGGAATTCATTTGTTGCAAAGTGAGAGAACTTACTTGTTTACTACAATTTACCAAATACTTACAATAGTTTAGTAAAGTTAGCGACAAAGGATAAATTTTTATGTGACAAAAGGAAGTTTATTTTGAAGGTATGTTTTATATTTTATTCTGCATGTGAAAATCCATGACCTTATTTCGGTAGCGGTACTTTGTTGTACCGTTATACGGGCGCGTGGCCGTCCCTGAGCGCAGTGGCGAGAGTGCCGCGCGCGAGGGCCGCACAACCCCTCCTCTCGCGATTTTCCTGTCGGTGGAGGAAGGAGTCGGGAGCGGGAGTGATTTGGTGTTGTATCGAAAGCGTATGGAGGGGATCCCGCATCTTGGTGGGGATGCGTATCGCCGCGCGTGATGGACGCTGGCAAAAGGAACTGGTAGGGGTGAACAACCTCCGCTCGTTGTCTGGCTACTCCCACTATCAACATGATCTCAGACATAAACTTATGAATTAAAAATCATACTACTTACAATTACTATATATTTGTAGGTAATTGCGTAACTAAAACTCCTTTTAATGCAGCCATATTTAATGTCTTTGTCTTAAGTTTGTTTTCTGTTAGAAACATTGTCAATGTTAATTAAAAGCACAGTGTTATTCAGGCTTAAATGTAATAACTTTTGTTAATAAAAGTCTTTTCATATTTAATACATCTAGGTATAATATATTCCGTAATAAATATTTTACTTAACATACTTTCAATTGACCTTGTTTTGCTTCCTTTCACTTGACCTAGTATATAGATAATTCGGAAAATATTGTATATGAAAGGGTTCCTACAATTCCATTAAAATATATTCTAACATTAATTTTTATAAATATCTATTGCAATTAAATAATGTCTGTAATCTGTTTGCATTAAGGTATGCAACAATATGATTACTCAACCAACAAGCTTCCTATGTTAACTGAACCACAACCACACCTCAACATGAGTCTTGTGAAAGTACAGCAAAGAGAAAGTGAGGAGCATGTTAGAGCTATACGTACATGCATACAATCAAATTGCCCGCTAGTGTGTATAACTAACTTGCTGGTTGACTATCGAGCCAGCATAAAAAACTTTCTTTAACCCACTTTCTTATTAGTAGTAGTTTGCGATCATCTTTCGCCTCTCAAAGTTGTTTTAAAATTATTTTAGTGTAGTGTTGTGTGTGGTGGTCAGTAGTGGTATGAGCCCTACCATCTCATCCCATACCCTGTGTAGTCCCGTAGTGGCGCGAAGTGGTGGAACCGCGGGACGTGGGGATACGCGGGTGACCGCCGAATGACGCAAGTGGGACAGTGGTTTTTTGTTTTATTTTTCTCCCGCTTCGACGGGCCCGAAGTGGAGGGTGTAATATGTGCGACATGCAGAAAATGCCCACAAGAGAGGATGCCTCTTGGTATGGGTACATGATTATTGTGGCTAGTAGCTAATTTATCAATGAAAATTACTCAAATATGAATTAATTCCCTCAAGAAGTGAATGGATTATGCACACTTCTAATTCAATATGAGATATGATGAGATGCAAAAGATGTTTTCGAATTAAATTATTCTATTCTGTTTGAATGAACTGGTGGAAGACAGAAGGAATACAGAAATTGTTCAAATAAAAATAGGGTAACATTGGCTTATACTTAGCATAGAAATGTACCATACTTACATACACAAAATTATTCTGTTATGTAACATTTTAGAAAAGGGAAAGCAGTTCGAGATTCATGTTCTCCTTTAAGAGTTAAATTGTTAGTTTGATATAAAATAGCCTACTTTAAAATTTATATTTTCATAACTCTAGTTATGAACTTTTGCTTTATCTTTAGAAACATTGACAAAAGTAACAGTAAAAATTCTTAATTTACAGGGTTTCATAGTCTGATTTTTATGATGACTTTTAGATATAATATATAATGTAATTTAATCTGCAGTGAAGAAGACTCGGAGATGAATTTCACTGCATTTTCGGCAGTGGGTGGTGCAGGAACTCATTTCGTGACAACTGGGGGCCAACTGCCAGTGTCCAAATTACAGCAAAATGTCTCAAATAATGGCACTTCCCTCTCGCAGGTATGGCTTCCTACTGGTCTGGACAGTTGACAATTAAAAATAATATTAAATATCATATAAAATCTGTTTATAATATCAATATGATATCATTAATCACATATAGTTATGGTACCCAAAACTCTCTCATTATATTTAATCATAAACAAAATGATGTCATCAATCTATTATTGTGCACTTCACTGGTAATTTTTATTGTGTTAAAAACTTCATCATAGATAGTGTTTCTCATCTTCTTTGTTTTTAAACAGTACCAGTAGCAATAAAATAATTAATTGTAATTACTATTTAATTTTATTGTAATCAAAATACCATTGGTTTTCTTATCCAAGTATGAGATTAAAATTTGAGAAGCTATGAATGTCTACCTTCTATTGGTCTTAGTACTAAGCAAACACCAGTTAGAGTAACAAAGACTTTATTTCATATGAATTTTACTCCAATATCAAGTTTAAATTTCGCTTATTTTACAAACATGAAACTATATTTTTTCATTGAATGTATAATGGTTATGGTACATTGGCTAAATCACTGACGCATCAGTTGAGTCATATAGGAAAAAAATATGGTACTAGCTTAGGAATTATTGTTTAATAAAACTGATTACTTAATTTTTATTCAAATACTTGCCAATATGTTATTTAATAATATTATATAATAATTATCTTATATGTATTTAGAAAGTGTATTTTTTCTTTTAGTAACTTTTTCATATAGTTTGTTTTGGACAACAAAATTATATGCAAACGCATGTACCTTATTGTAAGTATTAATAATTTATATTGTCTATTATCAGGTGGTGGGCATGGTTGGTGGCGTCAGCCTGCCAGAGGGTGGTCATCTGCAGTACGTGCGCGCTTTGGACGGCGGTGCTACTCTGCAAAGTACACCACAGTTCATTTCCGTCCCCATCGCGTTGCCCGGAGCCAAGCCTGGTTAATATCGATTTTTTTTTAGTGCTCAGTTTCCCTAAGAAAGGCTTCAATTGTAAACTCGGTTAATATTGCACTAGGAAGTTGCCCCGCTGATTCCCAATACAACTAAAAGGAATATTTTGAGTACAAATATAGTATTACACTCAGTAATATTATGCTATTGTCAGTTGTATAATTGTTATATTTTTTTTATTTTTGTACAGGTGATCCCCAACCAACGGTTCAGATTCAGGTGCTAGGACCGAATTTGAACCTTCAGCCGCAACAACAACCTAAATATCAAATGCAAATACCCATCCAAGGCTTCCAACAAGGTAACATTTTTCACTAAATTTATTTTTTGTAAGATATGCAGGTTTCCCAATAATGTTTTCCAATACCGTCGAGGTTGTGGGAAATTGGCACATTGGTTGCTGCAAAATGCTGCAACAACCTTACTGGTGTGAACTCAGTTTATGGATTGAGCTTCAACACATAGAGGCAAGTTTTAAGACCAAAAGCGTTAGAGCAAAAGTGAAATGTTTAAAATTTCGATTTCCAAAGAAATTTATGAACTCAAAAGAGTGACAAAAGTATCATATATCCATTTGTGCAATAATTCTTGGCATGTCTTGACTTAGTAACTTGTGTCATTTATTTGTATGTAAACCAAAGTATGTTTGACAGGGGCCATCAATTAGTTCATTCCTGTATGTTTCTAAACTGTCATCATATCAAATGTTGTCCAATACTAGATTTTACACCGTTTGTAATTTTCCATTACAACACTTCTTTTACTATATTAATGTACTTTAAATGTTGTAGGCGGCGCTGTACTTACAGTCGCTTATTCTCCAGAAGGCAATGAGAATGGAGGCATCCAGTTGTTGGGAAATTCACTGCCTGAAGGTTTGTCATATTGTCACTATTACCTTTACATTTGAACCGGGTAAATTGTGTTTTCACTAAGAACAAGTTCTGTTTTATTTCAATCTACATATATCAAAAAAGAATATAAGCATGATTCTACATTACCAAGATTCATATAAAACACAATTTGTTATAAATAGACCAAACTAGAAGATTATTAAGTTCTTGTTTCCAATTGCAGTCTTTTAGGTTTTTATTATTAGCTTTGTACATGCATTTTATTAAAAGTTTCCGATAAATAGTTTTAACAAGCTTGCTTGTTTATGTCAGCTTGTGAAAGGGAAATTAGAATTTTAGTTTGTAGTAGTTTTCTATCAAAAATGTATTTAGGAACATGGAATGTTAAAAATGGGAACTGTCATAGTTTACTTTATGTGGTGTTTCATAGTACATATTATAATAGTTTAACATTATTGCATATAAGACATAACATATTTATTTATCGAATTTCAAGTTGACAAAAGTTTTTATTACTTTCTACATCAAGGCAATCTTTTTATAAAGAAGTTTAATAACAACATTTTTAATTAAATTAAATTTTATCTCTGTTTATTTTTATTTTTAACAAATTGAAACTTGCTTGAATGATAAAGCAGTATTTTTGGATATGCAAAAACATTGTAAAATTACTTTTTATATGTCCAGGTACAATCAGGATGCGATCAGGTGAATTGATTTCTGTACTTAATCTGTGTGATTGTCCTAACAATAACTTGTGTTTTCCATCATTCACCTTTCACTAACTGCAAAATGACAGATGTGTTTTATCATTGTTTCCCATTTATATTCATATTTGTATCAAAATTATATTGTCTTAAATGGAACTCATACTCAGGACAAAGAAGAAAAATTTGTATCAAATTGAAAATCTTATTTGGGCATTGTATTAATTGAACTATCATTATAGTTGTTGCCTTTAGAAATCTAAACACTTGTGGTTCCCAACAACAGTCTTAGAACTCAAGTCTATCCAAATCTTAAATTATACCAAATATCACTATGTATACTGTGACAGTGCCATGCATCAAGTCAGTCGGGGAAGGAGAACAGTCCATAGAGAGCTGTCTCGTGATAAAGCACTTTTGTGTTTCTTCTGATGAGTGAGATAATCAGGGCACATTTTTCAAAACCTATAATGCAATCAGCAACACCACAGGAGTTGTAGATGTCCATGGGCAGCGCTAAATTAAATAGTTTTCGAATTCTGGATCCGCTTAAACAAATCAGATGAAATCTTGAATAGAGACAGCCATAATAATTTTGAAATGAATTATTTCATTATGTAATGGACTTTGTGTGTAAAAACGGGTGAAGATTGATAATTGGCTTAGAATAATGTTGAAAATATGCCCTCCCAGGTCTCCAGGTGCTCGCGGCTTTACCGCAAGAGATGCAGCTGGTGCAGCCAGCGCAGACACAAGAGAAAGAACAAATGCAGCCAAATGTGCAACATCAGGTATATTTTACATCATGTTTAAGAAGCTGTAAATATTTATAACTAGTTGGGAGGTTATAAAAGAATGAAGTTTGAAAATTAACTTTTAGGACAGGTTTTGAAGTATGTATAAATTACAACAACAAAATAGCAAAGGATTGAATATGATTCAATTTTCTTATACATTAATTTTGTTTACATAACACTTGGGTTATCCATTAAAATTCCGAATACTTTGAGCCGTACCAAGCCATGAGACATATGTATTACTAGCTGTCCCAGCAAACGTTGTTTTGCCATATAAATTATTTCTAGGGGATTTGTAGGGTAGAAAATATTGTTTAGGGTGGACCACCCTAAACATTTAGGGGGATGACAAATAGATGTTATCCAATTCTCCACCCTGGCCGATATGTACACAAAATTTCACGAAAAGAGGTCGAGCCGTTTTGGAGGAGTTCAATTACAAACACCATGACAAGAAATTTTTATATATTAGATTAGATAGGCTGTTACTCTACAAACTCCGTCCGCAGGTGTATGTGACGCAGAACCAGATCGTGATACGCAGCCCGGAGGAGGGCAAGGTCATAAGCAACAACAACAACAACATCAACAACAACAACAGCGGCGACAACAACCACGTGGTGGACATCGTCATCAAGGAAGAATGCGTCGACACCGGGAATGATGAGGTAGGTAACGTCGACAGTTTGTCCTCTACTTCTTATACTCTGCGGCGACAAGAGAATTTTTTCTTTTTTACGTGTTAAAAGTTGCCAAGCGAGCAGACGGTTCACCTGATGTTAAGTGAATACCGCCGCCCATGGACATCTGTTACACCCAAGGGTTGCTGCGTGATCCTACCACCGTAAAATTAATTAGAATAAATAACACAACAATATCTAGGCCTAAACTGAGCAGGGCTTGTACTTTGGGTACTAATTAATTGATAAACACACTTGAAAATATTTTTCCTTCATGGATGGAGGATACATTTTATAGATATATATATGAATTATGTTATAGAAAACAAATTAACATGCCAATAAAATAAGCTATGTTTTCCGCGAAATATTGATTCGAACCCACGGCCTATAGCGCAACGGACGGGTTCACTATCTGCTCAGCCGAGTCGTCGAATTCACCTGCTGAATACATACGACAATAAGGAATATAAGCCTCAGCTGATCATCTTTTAGGATGAGAGATTAATGTCTAAAATATCTAGCAGTTGTTTTGCTAAAGGGCTTGGAACAAAAGCTTTAAATGAATTACAATCAGCATCTATCCCACTGGAGAAAAGGTAGTAATAATCATGCAAGTAAACTATGATCGTACAATAATTCACGAAAGCAAGACAAATGAACAAAGAATCTGTATAAGGATGGCAGGTAGTTGAACTGTGCAATCAAACCTACTGATTGCCGCGCCATAATCTCCTTATTAGTTACTGCATCTAGATGGCTTTCAACTAAATTACTACCTGCATATATTTTAATACAGGAAGGAGGCTCGCAAGGCATGGAGGCCAGCAATGGCGTGTCTTGGCAACTCGCCAACAACTCGCAAGACCTCGTCAAATATCTCAACACATTACCGCCACAGGTAAATATTAAATTCACTTACACACTCTTTAGTAAAGCGTAAGCAACACATGATTATGTATTGAACAAAACTTCTCCAATGGCCGCACGTCAATTAAGGTTTTCCTATTATATATGTATATGTATTGCACATACCAGCATAATTATGTATATATATGCACGGTTGAAAAGTTTGGTTACCTATACATTTACCTTATGACCATTCGTTTCAGCAAACGGAGGCCCTGCCGGTCTCGCTGCAGCAGTTCCTGAGACTCAACCCAGCTAGGATTAAGAAGGACATTGAGGTGGAAGTAGAACCAGCACCAGACGCAAAGGACCACACCGTCGCTGAGGCTGTGCTGGACGATGGTTAATGTTACCACATCTATCCGTAATTTATCTCAACCCAGTCAAGTCTATTGGTTCAGAGGTACTAAAAGATATTCTGGTCCTATCAACGCAGAGGTCCGTATCAAGCTCGTGGTTTCTCTAATAGTCTATGGACTGAAAGCAAATGCATCACACAAGTAAAAAAGATACTCTGTTGTATATTTGGGTTTCCTCGTCCGGGGGTACCATAGCCTCAAGGCTTAAAGTGTAGTTATGTATACATCTGGCGAATTATTTTGTATCTGGCGGGTTTTAAAAAGAAAAACCTCTTAAAAGAGCAACAAAGCATCTGCCGCCCCGCGGCTGTTGCGGATTTCAATGGGCGGCGGTAATCGTTTCAGGTGAACTGGCTGCTTGTTTACGGTGATCTTTTAAAAAAAGAAGTAACAATATAATTTACATATATTTGTTAATTTATGACAAGTTTCTCCGTCTCAACGACAAATAAAAAAAAATAAGAAGTTAATATAAGAATGTACCTACCTCACTATTGCTTTGCTGTACATTTCCTGTCATAAGAGTTTCATGCTCAATAAATAAATAATAGAAGTGATACTATGATTGCGGTGAAACTCATAATTTATTGTATATGTATTGCATATGTATTATCAGCCTTGTGTGCAGAGAAGGCCTATGTCCAGCAGTGACTTGTAATAGACTGCTTGGTAACTTTGTATTCTATTTTATTTGTATTGCTTTACTTTCAATGTAGACGGCGTGTTGAGAATAAAAAAGAAGAAGAAGTACAAGAAGAAGTCGCCGAAGCCGGCCCGCCCTAAGCCCGGGCAGGTGGTGATAACGACCACGTCGGATGGCACGCCAATCTATTGCTGCCCCGAGTGCCAGAACGCCTACCCGGCTAAGGAGCAGCTCGAGATGCACCTCCTAGTGCACAAGATCGAGAGGCGGTTCATCTGCGGCATTTGCGGGGCCGGGTGAGAGGGCATTGTCCTGTTCAAATTTAATTTTGTTGAGTTTCTTTCGCGGTCTCCTCTCAACAGACACTGATCTCCGAACCGGTGATAACTTGCTACCATAAGAACGATCCATAAGAACGCGCTAGCGTCTATTTAAATAGAGATATTTTGAATTTTTTAACCACCTTTATGTTGAATATTTTTTTTGCTTTCCAACCGAAAAGAAAGAAATAGGAAGTTTTTCGACTCAGTTGTATCTTTTTTATGGTTACCCCATAAATCCGTCGTTTACAAACCGATTTTAAAATATTCCTTTTACATTGGGTTCGATTTAGACATTGGATTCCTCAAAATCAAATAGAAAATGTGAGATAGTTTAGAATGAATTAATTAAAAAAATAGCCCTTACTTTAGGATAATATTATCCTGTGTTGTAAGGACGTTTTACAAACATAAATTTCACGCGGACAAACACCCAGATGCGAAACAACTATCTAGGTCACACAAATAGATGTCCCGTGTGGGAATCTAACCCACGACCCCCGTCGCCGAAGTCGATACCTCGGCGATTGCGCCACTTTGTATTTTGTCAATAAAAACGTTTCGTTCCGTGATGGGACCATCCCGTGCAGGCTGAAGCGGAAGGAGCACCTCGAACGTCACAAGCTGGGCCACAACCCCGAGCGGCCGTACGTGTGCGGCGTCTGCAGGAAGGGCTTCAAGAGGCGCGAGCATCTCAACCTACACACGGTCATCCATTCAGGCGTTAAGACGGAACTCTGCAACGAGTGCGGCAAAGGTACATACCCCAGTACACGACACTGCCGGTACTAAAATGGATATCCTAGGCCGCAGTGGGCTTATACCCATCACACGTCGACACGGGTGCACAGATAATGCTTGATAACAGACCACAGTAGATCTTCTAAGTCGCAGGTCTTACACAACCGCTTCTAGGCAAATAAATGCTTGGTGAAAATTTCGAAGTAGCGAAAAGAACTAGTTCATTAGTTCACACAGGACTGTGTGGATAATGTTCATTATTTTATTGTCGTTACATTGAAGGGTTACAGTGAACTGTTTGAAATCGAGGCCTTTTTTCTTGTAAATTACACGTAGCGTTATCGCTTATTTATTTTTACCACGGTAACAACTGTGCGTAAAATTTCCTACATTTGCGTGACATATTCAGCCACCAAAATTTCCTAGTTTTCTAGTAGTCAGCCACGATAATATACATTACTCATTCAAAATATATATATTGTCAATACATGGCATTGTCAGACATTCTACATAAGAAAATTAATAGCGAAAAATTACGGTCATGGCGATCCGACAAAAAACGCCTTTGAGAAAAATATATAGAGGTCTGTCGCAGGCATATTGTGGAATCAGACAGATTACAAGGTAATTTGTCGCTGTAATGTAAAGCGGAACAATATTTAAACGTCGCGCTGTATGGACATGCGTCGTCCCTATAAGATAATCATTGGATCCTAATTAAATAGTCAAGTTCAAAGTGCGGTTATTTGCCACCAGGTTTCTATCGAAAGGACCACCTGCGCAAGCATACCCGCTCGCACGAGAGCAAGCGCGCCCGCTTCGAGGCCAATGGCGAGCAGCCCGATGTCAAGCCGGTGATAAGCTCGACGCCCAGCACAACCAACACCATTATGCCTGAGATCACAATACACGTGAGTTGAAAGCATTACACCATTAACGGCCGGTTTCAATATTCTGTCTACATATAGATTTGGTTACCGGAGATAAAACTTTGAAGTAATGATAATTAATAATAATTAATTTTATGGAGCTAATGTCAAATTATTGAGCCGTGATAGCTCAGTGTCCGGGCGCTCGCCTTTAATTCGATATACTCAAGCAACCTGAGTTCGATCCCCGGTGCCGGCACCAATGAAGTTTTTAACTTTAAGTGCTGACTTATCTCGTGCTCCGCGGTGAAGGAAAACATCGTGAGGAAACCTGCATATTTTCGAAATAATAACAAAAAATATTTCGAAGATATGTGAAGTCCGCCAATCCGCAGTGGGGCCGCGTGGTGGACTATGCCCTGATACCCTCTGTATAGAGGAGGCCTTTGCCCAGCAGTGGGACATGTATAGGCTGTTACTTTCCTTTACTTTACAATGTCAAATATCTATCAGTAGTAACTAATTTTACATCTACTTTAATACAGTATAGAATGTGTTAATGTATTCTAATATTATCCTTTAGAGATATATAAATAGGCATCTTATTAATACACAGATACCTGGGATCATGATTAATTATTTGTAAATATAATAGAAGTAGAAATTTTCCCCACAACATAATTGTGCACCAAATTCATTGTCATGTAGCAGTATAAACACATAAAAAAAACAGACCTCATTTCTAACCTCATAGTGCTATGACTTCACATTTTTTTCTTAAAAATCCAAACCATACCAGATGTATGTTTGAAACATGTCATAACCAGACCACCGAGACTGAACCCATTATGTTTCTTTGGCAGGTGCCAACGAGCGCGAACATGCAGATGCCCATCCAGATCAACATCCCGCATGTGATGACGTCCATGGCCGGCACGCAGCAAGCGCAGAATGCGCAAGACGCTCACAGCCAGCTGGACGCTCTCCTCGCAGAGCACTCGTGACGCCCCTCCCCGGATGGCAGGCCCGAGCAGGGCCAGCAATTCGGCACAACCAATTCAGGACACGGGCGCCGTCTCTGCCCCTGGCAACGGCCTAATGTGGCTCTAAATACCACCACCGTGTGACCGAAACGTTCCCAAATTGTGTAAATTGTATATATGTAGGCACCTGGAAAGTGGAAACTTTATGCGGATAACTAAGACTCGAGTCGAAGTGTATTTGCTGTGTCAAGTGACGGGGAATTCGAGTTGAGGGAAAACAAGAGGTGAGGAATGAAATCCAGGCAACTTAAGAACAGATGCTGTAAAAAGTGTGGCAGAGATTAAATGAAATTGTGAAACAACATTAATGCGTAAACTGATGGTGCTTCTTGATATGACAATTTCAAAGGCAATGAAAGCATGACTGCAAGCTGGCAAATGTGAAATGCATTTCATGTTTATCGTCGATTCTATAGCCTTAACAAATACATCACCTAATATTTAAATTAGCAATTCTATGGCCATTATAATAGTTACGCAAATTTAAATTGCCGCCTTATTAAACATCCGGTTCTTTAATTTGTTGAGGTTCATTCTATAATTAAACGAATTTAATGTCAGAGATGTAGTATTTTAGACTAATAATAGTGTGTGATAGGTTACCTCGAATCTTATTTATTCCATCCATTTTTGATCCATGATTCATCACTTTTTTGATGTGTAACTGTGATTTTGGTAAAGTTATACATCTTTGCAATAAATACTTGTTAAATAACAGTCCAAAATTGCCTTATGTCACTCATCTCAATGTTATCATAAACAAAGAGTCTATTTATAACTGTTTAACGATTTTGTAAAAGTAGATTTCAAAATGTGTTTAAAGAAACATTGTTTTTATGATCTTATGTGTGTACCTTTGTTTGTGAATATGGTAATAAATTGACCTTTAAGCAATAATGTAAGCTAATTAAGAACTGGCCGTAATCAAATGTAGGTAGCTGAATGTAAATTGCAACATTAGCAATATTTCAATTGTAGTTTAGGTCATTTGCTTAAATTATGTGATATATTTTTGAAATACGAAGTTTATGACGAAAAATATCCAGGAAGAGTTTTGTGGTAGAAACACAAAATGGATAATATCTAGACATATTGGAGTTCCGAATGTTAATGCTTTGTAATTTAAAGTTATAATTGTTAAATCAAATTCTGTTGCTTTTAATGATACTTTATAAGAACGACATTCAAAGGATTAGGTAAATTGAAACAAGAAATCATATCAAATTCAGACTTATGTGTGCAAAAAGATGATATCCAATTTATATGTGCAAGTTAATTAAACTACATTTATATTACATTAAATTTTAATTAGCTGATGATAGAAGTGAAGACCTTTCTGACAAGTAGTGGGTATTTTGGTTTGTCATGACCTACTGTGTTACTTGTGTGAGAAGAGACTTTGGTAATTTGTATCTGAATAAAGTATAACTTAATTGGAAGGTCATCAACACTACATTGTATTTAGTTTTGTATAGAACTGGATTTAACTCTGACCCATTGCTATAAAAGCTAAACAACGGACATTCTGATGAGAAAGAAAAACAAAAATTTAAACACGACAAAATTGTAAATATCATTGTCACTGTGATATTTATACCATATTTTTCCATTGTACTCTTTTGTATTTTAATCATGGTCTAAGGGTATTCCACAATTGTACTTGTGACATTCTTTAGTTTGATAAGTGAACTGTTAATCATTGGTTAAGATTTTTTTGTGCTTCGTAGATTTGCTCAGGAGTGATATGAACTAAACAACTAAAAAGTTTATAGAAATCAACATTATATGAAATGATATTTTACAGATTTTATCTCCTTTAATTAAATTTTTATCCCTATCCAGCGATCATGGTCATGTGACACAATGTATAATATTTGCATAAAAACAAGAAATTAAATGTATTAATAATTTAAATTTATGAAATTATTGTTATGGAGTAAATTGGATTTGAGTTTACCTTTCCAATTCTACAAATAAGTATAAGCAAGAAAAATTAAGAAAGTTACCAACTTGTTTATATACTATTTTTATTTATCTTGTCATTCTTCATATCATTCCTACGCAGTCTTTGTTTAGTTGAAGATTTCTTTTTACCTAATATTCTACCACACGATATTAACAATATGAGCTTTAATGTAGCTTTTAAATTGATTTTGAATTATATTTTTGTACTTAGAATAAGTTCTTAGGCATTGCATTGTCTTATACCTATTATGGCCTATTTAGGGCTTTTATGTAATGCAACTTTTGAATAGTGCATGTATAAATATTAAAATCCCATTATCATAGTGATATTTTGTAAGAAGTATTTGTAATTATGATTTTGGAAAGCACTCTACCCATAAAGAATAGCCCTGGTACATGCTGATATAAATAATAATGAGGTGCTCCGTAAGTTCTCAATATTGTTGGATGTCTTCAATTTTTTTTTATATAAATTAGACTGTAAGTTGTAAATTTTATTGTATAGTTTAGTTAACTTGTATACTGTCATTGCATCACAATTAACATTAAGTGAAACATGTTTTTTCATAATATGTAATTTTGTTTTAACTTTTGTGGGATTTGAGAGGTACACTCGTATAGTTAAGAAATTATTTTTATTACATAAAATCTCTTAATTTTGCATGTGCATTGGAATGAAATTAGTTTCCTTCGATTTAGTGATTTGCAATGTTCACCAATGTAGATTCTTATTTTTCTACTTTAATTATAAGATTATTTTAATTAGTAGTTGCAAGTATTATCATATTTAGACATACTAATAAGTGATCAAACTTTCATTTGAAGGTTTTAACTGTAAACATTTTTGTATGAAACTTATTTATTAATGAGATTAAAAAATAAAGCCACTGATTTTTATCTCCAGTTTTAATTACCATCCCTTGTGATGAAATGAAATATTTCGATTATAAATGTGATTTGCTATTGTGTTTGGTACAATAATGGCTTCATGTATTATAATGTAAGATAATAGTTTTATTTTAAATAGAGTAAAGTAACGGCTTATACGGTGAATTTTTTAAATGGAGAAATCCAAAATTGCGGTGTAGCGAAAAATACTTGAAGGAGACTCCATTTTGATGGAAAAATACAACTGCAACGTTTGCTTTTTGTAAAACCAATATTCCTAGTAAAGTATCTGCCTATACATGTCCCATTGCTGGGCGAAGGCCTCCTTTGGATAGAGGGTATCAGGGCATAGTCCACCCCGCGGATTGGCGGACTTCACATATGTACGAAATATTTTTTTTACTTATTATTTCGAAAATATGCTGGTTTCCCCACGATTTTTTCCTTCACCGCTGTGCACGTGATAATTCAGCACTTAAAATTAACAATTTCATTGGTGCCGGCACCGAGGCTCGAACTCGGGTTGCTCGAGTATATTGAATTTAAGTTCAAACGTTCCTAGACAGGAATCAATCCTGTACACCATTGGATAGCATCGCTAATAAGGTTTAAATGCTAAGAAGTTTCAAATTGAATGATGTACAACAAACTTGAAGAAAGCGCTCATATTTAAGAATTTTTTTTAATTTTTCTTACGGGACACATCTATTAAACCTTGTGATTAAATGTTCCAAAAAAAAACAACAGTTGTTTCACGGTATATATCTAGTTTGATTCTATGTCTCAATGCATTTAATATTAGGATATAAAAAATAAAGAGCATCATTTCTGGGGTAATATATGAATCGGTTTATAAAAGTTCAACATTAATTATTATCCATAAGTTTGTCATTAGTTCGAAGAATTTGATCCTTATTTTAGCGAACTGTCGAATGGTATGATAACACGACAGAAAGATGCATTCTATAAGTAATGACATTTTATCTTTCAGTTTATGGAAATAGATAAACGAAAACCTCGTGGTAATTTACTCAAAGGGTCTGTTATCGATTTACAATGCAACTTACTTAAGTATAATAATAATTTGAGTATTACTAACGTTATTCGGTTTAAAGTCTGGTTTTAATCGAACTCACTATCCTAAGCTTCGATTGCAATGGAGTAATAAACTAAAACGAAACATTCTATTGCATTACACGATTGACCGTTTCACAATTACATTTTCTCAAAGTTGCCTATAGCTTTTAAGATTTGGATTCTGTAATCACATTACTAAATGTATAAAACATTTTGTTACTAGCAAGATGTATTTAGAAGACAAGCAATCGATAACAATAGACGGGAACAAATCTGCGGGCGCGGAGTGCCGTGTGGGAAGCGCGTGTTCCCATCGCGCCGCCCCCGTGCCCACTCCGCGCCGTTTGCCCCTCACACTGCACCGCTAGGCCTCTACAGCGCAGGCGCCCTAGCCCCTCGCGCACCATGTCCGCGCACGCCGCCATACCATTCCGCGCCTATTTCGCCAAAGGCGGACGATTAAAACGCGATGAAAAGCGCACACACCGTTCCACGAAAGGTAACTGTTCCACGACACCGTCGCGTGCCGCCCCGCGTCCATCCCACGGCGCCCCAGCGCCGTCCTGGGCGATGGTGTGGGAGCGGGCGCGGGCCGGTAAAAATAGAGCGCCACAAATGTCCGCCGCACTGGGGTGAGGCGAGCACGGCGGGGGTTGAGTGAGCGGCCGGCTAGGGGCCGCAGGGCCGTGGTGGCGGCGCTTAAACGTGTTGTGGCACTCACGCGGGCATGTCTCTCCCGCTTGCAGGGCGCCTGAAGGATGAACTTCGCCCAGTTCGCGGGGCACATCCCGTCGGCGGCGGGCATGCCGACCATCCACCAGTTCGCCGCGAAGTTTGGCTACGAAGGAAACGGGGCCGGTGGCGTGGTGCAGGAGGCGCGCTACCCGGCGGCGGCGCCCGGGGTGCAGTTCGCGATGGCGCCCGCCGCGGGGGTGCCCGTGGAGGCGGTCAAGTTCCGCCAGGCCGAGAGCGTGGTGGTGGTGAGCAACGCGCAGCCGGGCGCGGTCGCCCTCGCCGGACTGGCACCGCTACACACCGGTACATAAACGCTTTGGCGCCACAATTGGTTACTTCTAATTAAAATCGCAGTTTTCAGTTCGCAAATATGCTCATTAAACGGATTAAGTATTCGTCGATTTTTATTTATTTTGCAATTTTTGAATTTTTTTACCATACTTTCAATTCATTAACGTTTGTAATTATTCAGATTTATTACGGTTTTCAAAAGTTGATATTTTAACACCTATAAAAGAAAAGCATGCTGTTTATATGCACTGAAATAATTTAAATCAATGGCATTTAACACATATACACAAGTAACAAACATCCAAATACAAATCCCTAATATACATAAACATGAGATCTTTCTCTTTAACTTTTTACTAAACTGACATTTAAATAGTTTGTTTCTCATCTTTTTATTAAAATAGCAGCCTATTTTGATACATCTGGTTATGTATTTATAATAATATATTTACTTTATGGTTCATGTCTCGTAAGCTATATGTTGAATTAAGAAAATAATATAATAATGATGCTGAAGGGAGCAATTATGTGCAATTCTCATATATAAATTAGGTAATTTAAATATAAGAATTGTATATTAAGCACACACATAAACCTAATGCAGGTTAAGCAGCTGATCTCGAACTGTTGTTTTAACTAACTAAAAAACTTCATTGCACTTGTTAAACAAGTGCAATGAAGTTTTTTTAAACTAACGATTTAAACTAACAGTAAACACAGGGGTGAAGTACCAGACAATATCGGCGACTTCGTCCGTGAACCTGGGTAACATCGCGTACGGTGGCCAGGGTGGCTACGTCCAGGCGGAGACCGTGCACCAGCTCAAGGCTGAACAGAGGACCGACAAGAGGGAATACAGGGAGGAGTTGCACCACGACATAATGGCCACCATGATGCAGCAACAGGGTCTGTATTGTTTTTAGTGCGTGAAGAGGACACAGTCGTTACTCAATCAGCTGTTTTATGTCTCAGGGCGGTCGATCGGAATATTGTATTTGTATAACTGATGTTAAGCTTTCAGTCCTTAGACTATTAAAGCTTCATCGGGCAACCGGTGGGCTAGCCAGAACCATGGGTTTAAGGCCCTCCTTAGTGGGTAGGGCGTGCAAGTACTCATGCGTGCGTTAATTATGGTATGTCGCCTACGGGCCATCGAGTTCGGAATGTTATTTGGATCGCTCTTGTAAAGCGTAATGCTTTGTTTATATTGAATACAACGGTTCTACATACTGAAGGAGCAATATGCTGAGACTATTGGTAGATGTTGATATTAGTTGAATTACATTATTATAATCGGAAAAGGATCTACAACGTACAGCACAACTTTTGAACTTTTAATTCTTTCATACAATAAAAAAAATGTCACGAGCTACGGGAAGTAGGTATCACGGCTTCAGACAAGAATGGAGTGAGGGAAAGTATTATTCTTTCCCATTTCGTCTGGCAAGTGAGGTATCCGGGGCCCACTTTTTAATGTTGGCAACTCATCTGCAACCTGTCAGGTGTCCTTGGGAAGTTATTTTTAACATCAGGCGAATCACCTGCTCGTTTGCCAACTTTTAACTGAAATAAGACATATTTTAGTCCTGATGCTCTTTATTACTTTTAACTTATAAAGCGCCCCCTTAATCCGCATCTATTCAGCAGGTGGCGCTGGAACCCAGCAGCTGGTGGTGGTGCTCCACGAGCCGAAAGAGGCGGCGGCATTCGCACGCGCCATTAAGCAGGAAGTTCGCGTAGATCGACCCGCGGCCGCCCCAGCCGAATTCATCAGTGAGTACCTTACTCTCCCGTCAACGGATAAATAGACTCTAGGGCTAGTTATTGTCGATATCAGGGACTCCGTAGTTTTGTTGTCGATATTCGAACGAAGAGATTAGTAACATCACACGCTATATATAAAGTAAAATGGAACAATTTGCTTATCATATTCAAGGCAATAGTGAATAGGTGTTTACTGCGCTACTGCCTTCTTGACGTCAAGGCTTATTTTAAACACTATAAATACATATTTTTTAATATTTTTATTTAATAGGCAGTTCATATTGAAAAAAAACTGGAACCATAAGAATTCAATTGTGTCGAATTCGATTTGCCTGTTTATGTAAATTCGAAAACGGCAGTTGCTCACATTAAGGCACTGTGAAAGGTATAAAAAAGTGGGCGTAGAAAATCTAACCGAACAGCTCATATAGAAAGATACGAGTTTTCCTAGTTAGCTTAGTTGTCTTCTTATAGTAGTGCTATAGTTTAATAATGATAACATTTTTTTTGGACGTTGGCAGAACTGTATATTTTTGTACCGAAATCAATCGAATAGCGGATTTTCTGGCAAAAAAAGAAAAATATGTAGCAAGTTTCAATTGTTTTTTACAATACCTGTACTTGTGTGTACTAGCACCCTCGGTTTCTCCGCGAGAGTTCAAACATTTCGTGAGAGTACAAACATTTCGTGGAATATCACATATAACACTTTTATCCTGAGATGAAACGCTAACAATAAATATCACTAAAAGACTTTGAAATAATCTAGCTTTATAATTTGAGGTTAAAACCAACGTTACATCAGCGCACAATGTTTTCCTACCCGCATTTAATTATATTGTTTCAAAGAATAATCTAATGCCATCATATATTATGGCGTGTTTTGTAATTTTGTTGACTAGATACACTTTGTCCTAGACATACTGTTGATGATTAGAGGGCTTGTTCTTTTCACTTTCTAAGATTAAGTAAAAAAGTAAAGTAACAACCGGTAAATGTCCCACTGCTGGGCGAATACCTCCTCCGTACAGAGGGTATTAGGTAATAGTTGACCACTGCGGCTTGGCGGACTTCAGATATCGTACAAATAATTTTTTATTATTATTTCGAAGATTAAGTATTCAGCAAGAAATGCAGCAAGCGTTCTTGGCATCATGCAGCATGGGCTAGGATTGTTAGATTACGAGTAATTTAGTCAGTATTTATTATTGTAAATATTTTATGTTCAATGAATTGTTATTCGTCAGATAACTAGAATAGTTTATGTGTAAGATTGAACGTGATTGTCTTAAGGTAAGTTCGATTGTTTTGACACTTGGAGAAGATGAATTGGGAGCGATTGATGAAATTTTGTGACAGTAGAAAGGTTAATGAAGGACTCCCTATACATATTTATCAACGTATTGGTTTTATATCGTGGGCAAAGTCGAAGAAGCAACAGACTGAACTGATTTGCATTTGAGCGTAGATGCATAAATGATGGACCAAATGATGGCCCTGCCTAACTTTCTGCACGAACAGCCGTTAGTGTGTACGTATATCATAAACATTGGTTCCGTACCCAAAGGCCAAAACTGTCTGTCTGTCGGTCCGTCTGTCACCAGGCTCTCTCATGAACCGTGATAGTTAGACAGTTAAAAATTTCACAGAAATGATGTATTACAATACGACAAAACCTAAAAAACAGAAAAAAAATATTTAAGTGGGGCTGCATATAACAGATATGGTTTTTTGCTGCTTTTATAGATTATAGGACGGGACCTTTCGCGTGCGAGTCCGAATGCACTTGGCCGGTTTTATTTTAATAACACAATAATCAGCAGGCAATACGTAAGCGTTTTGTGTTATGTCATTGAATGTGTATTAATTGCAGGTATAGGCGACGTGACAGACACCTCCACGTGGCAGACTCTCGGCGGTGGCGTGGCAGACTACTTGTCAGCGCTGCCACTGCCACTGCACCATCTGCTCAAGTATTCCGCACCTGCCACCTCCATGCCCGAAGCGAAGAGGGAGGAGCAATCGGCTATTGTCTCTGTCACAGCGAACGCCCTACCCTCAATATGCTCTCTGACATCGGTAAATTGTGAATCATTAACACCAATAAAATGCTTATTTATTCGTTACTAGCGACCCGCCCCGGCTTCGCACGGGTGCAATGTGTTATACATATAAAACTTCCTCTTGAATCACTCTATCTAGTAAAAAAAAAACCGCATCAAGATCCCTTGCGTAGTTTTAAAGATTTAATCATACATAGGGACAGACAGACAGCGGGACGACTTTGCTATGTATATATTTACTATGTAGTGATTTGATATTTGTGTTCTTTTGTCTGTCTATTGTTGGTCTGTACGTTGATGTGGACAAATTTGGTGGAGTTAGCTGATGCTTTTTCTGATTATATTTATCTTTGAAATTAAAAACCTGCTTGATAACTTAAATTTATAAGCTGTTGAAAAAGTATAAAATCATTTGGTGGTCGCAATCGTTTCTTTATTAATTTCATATTCATTCTCTAAATGATTTTTGAAAAAGAAAGATTTTTTTGTGTTCAGTCCAGCTATACAACCTTCTTACAAAAAAGTAAGCTATTATTATTACATATTAGTAGAGTTTTAGTCTAATCTAAATATATCACACTGCTGGGCAATGGCCTCCTCTATACTGAAGGTATTACGGCATGGTTCACCACGTGATATAATTTCACAGATTTCGCGGATTGGCGGAATTCACATATCTACGAAATATTTACTACTTCTTGGTGTTGTGTGTTACACCCACTTTCGGTGGATATATTTGAACACTAGTTTATGAACAAATGCTTCGTTTTCCATTCCGGTAATTCAAAACTGTTTGCCTGCGCTTGTAAAACGACGCGTGGCGATTTGCTTAGCGGGCTTTCATCCGCACTTCCAACACGCAGGTGCCGTCGAACATTGTTAACAGCGTGGTGGTGCAGACGGCGTCGATAGTGAACCAGAGCGCGAGCACGAACACGACCACTATCACGATATCGAAGAAGAAGAAGAAGAAGAAATCGCTGAAGGAGAAGAAGCCGAGGCCGAAGCCGGGGGAGATCCGGTTGACGACTGCGCTGGGTAATGGGACTTTTATTAGCCGACTGCGGCGAACACAAAAAAGAGGGTTATGTGTTGGGAGTTACGTTTTTAATGTACGCATGTCCGTGTCAATGCTCCTCGTAACGTCGAAACGAATCGAATCGTCTGAATCGGTGCTGATGAATGATAAATGGAGTTAGAATCGTCTTTATTGCGCAATTTTAATTATTTTTTATTTAAAAAAATCGAAATGGCGGATTTTATGCGTCAAAAGTAGGTATGTTTTAAAAAAATGTTTTCGTACCATAGTCGGGTTTTTAGTTTTTTTAATAATTGATTTGTATTTTATTCTCACAGTGGAGCAAACCGATATGCTGTTCCATGAATGGGCTACAGGAAATTCCCTTTTCCTGGGCCGCAAAACATAAATATTTTCATACTAAAATTATAAATACTTCCACTTCATGTAGCCAGTGCTCAGTGCTCTGTAAGTCCGCGGTACTTGGTTAGTCAAGCTGGCCGATTCGTGAATAGGAATGAGTATTGTAATCTTTTTCGCACAGTTCAAACTTTTTTTGTTTCTTCCACTGTACTTTACTGAACACTTATTCGGTATTGATATAAATAAAGTTTTGCTTAACAATTTAAGGGCTTGACACACTTGAGGCGCATTTAAGTTTTACATCTTATAATTTCACAGATGGCAGTACGTTATACTGTTGCCCCGAGTGCCACATGGCATATCCTGAGAGGGGGCTGCTTGAGCAACATTTGGTTGGGCACACCATGGAGAGGAGGTATTGGAAAATTATTTAGGAAAATTAGAAAATTATTTATTAATACATTCATTAGTTTTTAACTGATAAACATAAAACATAGCAAGGAATAGAATTATCATCTTGGTCAATAATTATAATTAAATTGACAAATTAGTGTCAATGTCCATGCCAAAGATGTCTATTTAGACGTAAAAAATAGGGTCAGTTATTTGCATCAAAAATGGCTTAACCCTTTATCCCTATATAAGCTACGGCCCGTAAAGTGTATCGTATGAAATGGTTCGTAGAAAACCAGCCTTATGCCTTGAGTTTTGAGAAACCTCTTCAATTTTACTGTGGTAGGGTAATGGGTAGGCCCGTCCGGGGAAATTCCACGGCCTCAAAGTGAAGACGGGAAGTGAAAGTATACACTTCCGAGTTTCATCTTGTCAGTAAAGTAAATAAGTTTCGTCTGGCTTACACCCATGCCCTTAGGGGCGCACTTTTTTAATGGTTGCAACGTCTCTGCATTACGTCCTCAGCTGTTGAAGATATCTTAACATCAAAAACAACTTTTCCTATCCGAACAGCCCGATCTCTTATTTCGTCAGAATAATAATATCTTTAGTTTTGAACTACATGCATTTTTTGAATTGACATACAGTTTTCATATGCATCCGTAGTCATCACCATCGTCATCCATCTTCTTTTATACCACCTATCGTAAGTGGTTTTGGCTAGATTTATAACGACGACCAGTCGCTTGCCTGTCGTCAAACTTCCTCGCGAAAAACCCAGTACCAGAACAATTATATATACCCCGTACCCTTGTAGGAATCTAACCCACGACCCCCGGCGCCGACAGCTTAACAGCAACCACCGAGACATCACACATAGACACAATGCTTTCGTTGTGTAATTGCGATATGGGCGTTCCCCATTTCGGTGCACGATCCAGGTTCATCTGCGATATCTGCAACGCGGCGCTGAAGAGGAAGGACCACCTCACCCGCCACAAGCAGTCGCACAACCCGGAGCGGCCGCACGTGTGCTCCGTATGCCTGAAGGCGTTCAAACGCAAGGAGCAACTCACCCTCCACTTCGTCATCCACTCGGGCGAGAAGCGGCACATTTGCAACGAGTGCGGCAAAGGTTAGCGCCCTCCCTCTTATTGGGCCTGCACATATCTATGGGATCCTGGTAAATGGGATGTGTGAATGGGACGACTCGATCGCGAAAGTGCCACGGCCTCGCCGTTTGCGGGAAACGGAAGTGAATAAATGAAAAAATAAACATTGCATCTTGCCAATATCATCCGGAAAATAGAAGAACTACGTTCATGGCACAATATTTTTCCAGTATTGAAGACGATCCCCATACTCTTTGGCACAAGAGATAAGTTTTCTCTTCACTAAACGGGTCAAGTAAAGTTTCCATTTTGTATTAAAGCTGTTATCCAATCTTGGATCTTCTGGTCCTTCCAACGCAAGATAAATGCTTTGACTAATGAAAGTGCAATCACATCTATTTAGTTGAAGAAAACTAGGATCGTACCAACCACGGTTTTGCCCTTTCCTTTACTTTAGGATAATATTATCCTGTGTTGTAAGGAATTTTTTACAAACATAAATTTCACGCGGACAAACACCCAGATACGAAACAACTTTCTGTGGGTCACACAAATAGTTGTCCCGTGTGGGGATCGAACCCACGATGCCCGACGCCGAAGCCAATACCTTGGCAACCGCGCCATGGAGTCATCTTGTAACATGCAACGTACTCTCCTCAGGCTTCTATAGGAAGGACCATCTGCGCAAGCATACGCGTTCGCACATTGCGCGGCGCGTGAAGGCCGAGCTGTCGCAGCAGTCTGCCGGTGCGCCGTTGTCACAGCCCGTCACGCCGGCACCCACCCCCGTCGCGACGCCCTCTTGACCGGACGACAAACATGACCTACTCACGCTGATCGCCGCCGCCAAGGACGCCTTCTGACAGTAGAAGGGCTGCTTGCCGCCAAAATGTCTGTTTCTTTCAAATGTCAAAATGACAAAGGGCGTTGAGCTCGTTCAGCCACGTTTAACATTTCGCAAAAAGCTTTTCTGTGATGTCTTAGTCTTTCGTTGCTTTAGTCGATTACAGTTGATACATTTGTTTTAAAGGATTTTAAAAAGTGGCCGTTTAGTTATTTAGACATATTTTATATTGTTGATTATGCGAAGTAACATTGAAATAAATTAATTCTCCGAGACAACAAAAACTATTAGTCGTTGCGCGTTTATTAGAATTTGATAGAAAAGCTAATTTACAAACAATCAGTTATTAGTTGATATACCGCAAATTTTGGATCATTAACTATTTAAAAAATAATTAGTCGGTAGGAGAAGGCTATGGCAACCAGTGAACTAAAATGAGCTGAAAAGATAATGAAACTATTTACGGCGTCGAAGACTTCAAATGGTATTTACCATTTATCTACCGACAAAGATTTAGATATTTCCTTATTTAATTACATATTTTATAAATAAAAGTAGCGATAGTTGTAAATATAACAAATATTAATTGAAAATTATTTCCAAAGCAATGTGATCAAGTAGGCGTAATTTTTTTTAAATTTTAATGTTGTTTGTTGTTTTTTTGCTGTGATTAAAATAAATTGAGCGTCGTTTTATGACGAAAGCTGTTGTTGGACCTCTAAAAGAGCTAACTATGAGGAATGTTATTTTAAATGTCGTTAGATTTGTTTTGAAATTTACCGCGGTATGAATTATTATAAATGATTGATGAATATAATCTTAAGATAAATTCAATTATAAATTAGATAGTTGTTAAACGTTGTTCGCGAAAATTAGTTTAGAATCGGCGATAGATCGAACTATTAGTAAAATATTTTTTATAGCGAGGGTTTAATATAAGTTTTCAATATATTTTTTAAGCTCCTGCTCTAAAAAAAAGTACAAAAATTTTATCATATACGTATATTTGTTTGAACAAAAATAAAAACAAAACTTATCAATGATAGCTTATTTTATTCGAAGGTTTTGAATTTAAAATACTATGACATTCAGGTTAGGCTTTTTAGCAAAACCGTATCCTCCTACGAAATATTGAATAACGATAAATAAATTGAAAGTGACAAGGCCAAAATAAAATATTTATTCTCAAACCGTGAATTTAAGTTTTGGTTTTAACTATTTAACTTGAAAATAATAAAATGAAACAACGAATAGAAATTACATTTAATTCAAAATCAGCGCTAACTAAATAAAATATACAATGTGTATACAAAAAAAATTAAGTTTTAAAAAACTTAATTATTATTTTTGTCAGTTAATTATAGTTCAATCTTTGCTGCGATCAACAATTCCCTACCTATAGGTACCTATCGCTACCTAAAGACACAATTTGATATGTAGTTAAAATTTAACAGCTTTGGAATGTTTTATTGGCATTGGCTCTGTTTTATTTAAAATTAGTCATTAAATATGAAATTATTTATCCGAGTATTTTTTTATAATCTCTCGTAGTCCAAATAGAAGTAGAAAATATATTCAAAATATTTTTCGATTTATTAATATCGATTTATTAATAATTAATATTTCTGATCATTTATTCCAATTACATTTAAGCAAACTATTTGCATCATTTATATTTATTTACACCGTTGTAGTTTCAAATAGTCGTTCACTTTTTAACTAGACACTAATAATAAATAATAGACGGAGTCGTGCTTCCATTTTATTCAATCTTGTGCTTTCATAATAAAACATTTAAATTACTTTACGAGGTTTTATTTCATATGAACCATGTAATTGTGTGCAAAATATTTTATTTTGTACTCTATGTTACATTCTTATGCAGTAAGATCACAATAAGTTTTGTGTTAAGATTTAAAAGGAACTTTATATACATTTTTAAAACGGCAACATTTGTGTTGCACTGGTAATTATAAGAACACATTTTTAGAATCAATTAAATAACTTTTGTAGTACAAATACAAAATCCCGCTTTTGAAATTTAGAGATATTATCACACTATTTATAATAGAAGTTAAAAATACGTTTTTTTATTAATTTAAAATCTCGGTAACTGCTAGAGTCGTGTATAAAATTTTAAAGAGACACATTTCTCTTCTTAAGTCATTTGAGTGTTGTTAAAAATAAGTTTTATAGATAATTAACATAATTTATTCTTAAGACATTTTGTTAAATGAGCTTTTTTATCTTAATAAGAATTTAATTTATTTCACCAAAAACAAAAAATAAATCTTTTGTGCATTTCAGTTATAAATGATTTTAAGGAAGATGTTTTCTTGCATACAAGTTAAAAACATTTATCCATATTAACCTTAAATTTCTTCGAATATTAACATTGACATATTCAAATTATTTTGTCAAGTAGGTTACATAATTTGTGAATAAATACCGACCTAAACGCACTAACCTCGAATGCCTAATCTCAAGATCACGAAGGAAAATAATTTAGCATTCACTATTTATTTTTAATATCACTTATATTATGGTGAATTACAAAGGCTATAATCAATGTTTTAATTCAATAGATCCAATCGTTAAGCTTAAAGATATGTACATTAGCAACACTAAAGTTGCATTAAAAATAAATATTAGATGCTACATGATAATTATATCGAGATCGTCAATTTTGATGAATGTTTGGACCCTGCGGTGGTAATATGATAACTAGACGGCACTAAGAAAATATATTACAAACATAATTGGATTATATTTAGAAAACATCATCAATATTCACTCAAGCGCATTTGTTTCGCGCGACTTACTAGTGTATGCAATAATTTTTTGCATTATTTTGCAAAGATTTTTTTACATTCCAAATATTTAAGTACTTCTTAAATCTGAAGTTAAAAATGGGGATGTAACATAGTTTATATCCGTCGTCTAACCTGCAATACTGTAGATACATTTCTAAATTATATTGATTACAAAGCCGCACTCACACAATCAAAGTTCACGACAGTATATTTCGGAAAGGGGAGCTTTGATAAGTTTGCATTGTTGCCTGTTGACAAGTTTTTCTTCACAATTCAATGATTTCCTTCACAATTCAAGCGGCCAAGATCGTAAAGTATCATATTCGATAGAGAAAATGAACCCCGGTAGGTTTAGTAAAATCCCATCCAAGTATACTTTGAAAAACAAAACGCTGTCCAAGTCCACTTTGATAAGTATTCGTCACCCAGACATGCTTTGACTAGTGTTGCCAATCCATCAACGAGATCGTTATTAGTTTAGAAAAATTTTAAAACAAAAAACAAGAAATACTAGTTCCGTAATTACTGCACCAAATAAAATATTAATCTGTTGGCACATTTTGAAACACATCTTCCTTTTTGAATATCCATTGCCCAGAATAACAATAACATAGTCTACGTTCCAAATACGAATTGAGTTCTCTTAAGTACGTACAACGTTTATAATTATGACGTTTACGTTAAGTTTAGGCGTTAAAGTTGTTAATTGTACTTATATATGATTATCTGTTCGACATAAGACTTTCTTAGATCTTCTTTTGCAGCACATGGAACAATTTCGGATTTGAAAAAATGACTTCGACTTTGGTGGGTCTTACGCCTGATACGATCATAAATAATAAAAAAATGTGATGTGACGTAATTATGACGTCACGTTTTATGTTGTTTACACGTTGTCCACCCACTGATATAATTAAGAATCTGCCTTAAAGAGTGTCAGTTTTATACACAACGAAGGAAAGAGCTCAGTTCCTAGTATTGTGACTCGACTTTGGTGGGTATTCTGGATAATACGATGATAAATAATAAAAAAATGTGATGATGGCGTCTCTATGTAGAAACCGCTCATGACGTCACGTTATATGTTGTTCATACATTTTCCATCCACTATTATAATTAAGCATCTGCCTAAGTGTATGCCAGTTTTGTACACATCGAAATAAATAGCTCAATGCCTAAATAAATAAAAAAAATGTGATGATGGCATCTCTAGGAAGTAACCGCGTTATAAAAAGAAAGTTTTTCGTCGTGTATACATTGTCCATCCACCATTTTAACTGGGCATCTGCCTTAAAGAGCGCATCGAAAGAAAGTGCCTCCTCAGTGCCTCCTAGAGGGCGCTTGTGGGTCGATGGTCACCGCCCGCTGTTCGCCGTTCTCCATCGACACGACCATTTGGTAGGGCACCTTGATCTGCAGCGGCACTCGGAGTTTCGTGTTCGAAGGCGCCTGCGAACAAGTAAATATTTCATTAAAGAAAAACGAAACCGACTTAAAATATCTCGCTCTGTATTCATTTTATAATTGATTTTCAGGAGTTCCCCACGTATCTCCGGAGTCGGAGAAATTAATATGGGACCACATGGGTAGCACCAGCTTTCAAATAAAAAAGAAAAGAATCGTCAAAATCGGTTCAAAAAAACATAAAAGAAAATACAGTCGAATCGAGAAACTACTCCGTTTCTGAAGTCGGTTGAAAATGAAGCAATGCCGCGAGAATTCCCGCCAAAGTTGCTCAGATTATACGCAAAAACTGTAATTTCTTATGAGACGACCATGACGATTGGTGTGAGGCGGCGCTAAGTTTAATCCATACAAATTGTGATCAACCTCAAAGCGGTCGAGTAGGCAAAAAATTAAAAATAGGAGAACTCACGTGTATGGTGATTTCCGGAACCACCTCCTTCGGCAGCATGCTGATGGGGAAGAGATCGGGCAGCTCGCGTCTCGAGCGGTGCTTCACTTTGTTGTGGACTAAGCTGTGTTTCTGCAAATGGTCTTTGCGGTAGAAACCTGAAAGTGACGAGGAATATTGTGATATTGATCGATCTATTAATCAAATAAGAGAAGAGAAGGAGATAATATTTAAAAGAGCAAAAAACTGGTAGCAACATAGAGAGATGTCAGACGTATTTAAATTTCTTTTCTTTCTGGAAACTTTCAATGTCACAAGATGGCAAACATGCACGCGGTTCACCAGTTGTTGAGTGAAATCCGTACGCCTATAAACATTTACAACACCTGACAGATGCTGTCCCAAGCTTACCAAATTGAGGCCCTGGACATCTGAGTGACCAGGATAAACGCAAAAATATAATACTTCCACTACATCGTCCACTGTGAGGTCAGAACAGCATACCGGACTGACCAGACGAAACGCAAAAGTATTTCCCTTTCACTTAACCCTGGTCAACCGTGAGCCCGCAGTGCCTCCTCGGCCTAGCAAGCGTTCGCGCATCAGAAGTGGCTGGCGATCCTGCCCCAGTAAGACTTTGAACAGCAACATTACCTTTCCCGCAATCCGGACAGAAGAAGGATTTGACCCCCGTGTGTATGTGCAGGTGTATCTTGAAGTGGTCCTTCCGTCTGAAGGGCTTGGTGCAGTACTTGCATACGTAAACCCTGCGGGGGACGGGCAGCTCCGTCTCGTGGTAGCCCTCGGAATTGTCCGACGAGTCCCTGCCGTGTTTGGACTCGCGACTCCTCCGCGCCTTGTGGCCTTCGACTTGTTGGTCCTCCGAGCCGGACACGCTCGGGTCCTCTATCACCTGCAGGGCAGTTAACGAGATAGCACGAGATCCGGCCGCGGAATTTCCGCACTCAACGAGTACACGCTGAAATTACTAAGTTTTTTACGCATATTTAAGATTAGAGAATGTACAGCGTGTCTTTACAATCGCGACGATAAAAGAACACACGTCTAACGCTACTTGCCAATGATCATAAAAAAAATATTAATGTTAAAAAATCCATAATTAAAAAAAACATTTTTCAAACAAACTAATTAAGTAAAAAAGTAACAAAATTTGTAACATCCTATACAACTACAACTGACTGATTCATACATTCAGAGACTTTTTCATTCGTTGCAACAGCGTCGCATTACAAGCCTCCCTTCTAACAGTATGTTTTGTCTCTTTCCAATTCATTCAACCCATTCATATGGTTTGTGACCTTTATGAATGAACTTTAAGTTACAGTTTTATACGTAAGGTGTTCGAAAATTCTTTGTTTTGGAAAATTTAATAACTCAGTAAATATTGATGTTTAAAGAATGTAAATGTTTAATACAATTTTAAAAATGTATCCTCTATATGCGTGTTCATTTATTGTCGCGATTGTAAAGACACGCTGTATATTTGATGACTCCGTGGCACAGTCGTCAAGGTATTGGATTCGCACACGGGACCTATTTGCGTGACTCAGAGATAATTGTTTCGGATCTGTGTGTTGGTCCACGTGAAATTTATGCATGTGAAACGTCCTTACAACACAGCATAATGTTATCCTAAAGCGCAATATTTAAAAAAAAAAAAACTAAAAAACGAAAAATATTTACGGGGTAACCAAATGTGGCCGCTGATATTTTTAATTAAATTACTAATACTGTTTGCGCAAAAAGTTTGATTTTAGCGTATACTCGATGAGTGCAGCAGTACTGCAGCCGGATTTTAGACGTAGACGTTCAAGGGTCGCTGTAGCTAGGTGTACTGGCAGTAGTTGTTAGGTAGTCAAACAATCTGAGTGCTAACCGAGGCACCATTTTCATGGCTCCGTGGCGCCGTTGCCAAGGTATTGGCTTCGGCGTCGGGTCGTGGTTTCGATTCCCACACGAGACAGCTGTTTGCATAATCCAGATAATTGCTTCGGATCCGGGTGTTATACCCGTATAAATAGCATTCAGAAGTGGTAACTTTAAAATATATTAAGTTTTTCCAGTGTCTGGGTGTTTATATCTGTATACCATGTATTTATTTTAACAAAAGCGAAGTATGTTTATCGATTTTCTAGTGCCTATATTACCAAGTTTGGGACTAGACAACGTTGTGTAAAAATGTGTACGTAAATATTATTATAATATTATCTCTTATAGGGCGTAGCGCTGCTCGTCAACGTAATTACGGAAATTAGGGTTGTCACATTTGCATCTTACCTCGACGTAGTCCTGTGAGCATATGTTCTCCTTCTTGGCTTCGACTGGTGCACCCCTAGACAGGTCATTCAACTCGACGGAATTGCTCTCCCAGGGCGTGCACTTGTGCTGTTCGAACTGGTCGTTGGAATAAAACCCTGGAAAGTTGAGAAGCGGCTATTAAATTTTCTTTATTTACATTGTTTATTTTGCGCACTTTAAGTAATGCTTGGCGTATCTATTGATGTCCACTATAGCAAAAAAATAATTTAAAATGTCATATCACAACTATAATTCCAAGGAGATTTCCAATGCTATGCTTGCCAAGCGTGGGTTCGAATCCTGCATAGGGGAAAAACTTTTCGTCCATCCTAAATGATATTAGACGAGAATCTAGTTCATGCCGGTTTTCTGCGAGACCGTGGTACTTCCCCGACCAATTAGTGCCCCCAGCAGTACATACCGACCGGGACGCAAAAGAATGGTAATAATTGTACCTCACATCAGTTGTCTCGTACCTTTAGAATGACTGACCTATTAATAAAACATCAATATTTAAGAGACGAAAAATAAAGATTCGTGCATTTATGAACAAACTTGGTACGTAGTTAGAGGTTAGAGGGGAGTGAGAGACCCAAGTATACGTTATGTAGCTTTATAAAATCGGCCCTTGTTCTAATAAGAGTCAAAAAAGCTTGTCGTTCTAGGTTGCTCCCTGTCAAAGTAGTGGGGTATTCTAAAGGTGCGGTTCCGCGAGGCCGTGCCGCGTCCCCGGGCCTGCCCATCACTGCAACGGGCAAGTTGTTGCAGTAACGGGCAGCGCGTACCTTCGTTGCAGAGCGAGCACCATATCGTCGGCTGCGAGAGCCGCGTGTGCACGTTGCCGTGGACCTTGAGGTGCTGCTTCCGCTTGAACTTCCTGTTGCATATGCGGCACACGTGCGGCCGGTCGTCCGGCTGCCTGGTGCGCGGGACCAGCAGGTCCGTGCCATCCGACTGGGGGGGTTAATGCGATATATTTTAAAGTTTTTTTATAGTGCCAATCTCTGCACTTGAGACTGAACATTAAAACGTGTAGAAGAAGTACGAAAAACTAAACTGCACAACGGTTAATGCACTGTTTTTTTTTTTCAAAGTCAAAATACCTTCGTTCAACTTGGGCCTAACTAGAGCTCTTATTGAACGTCAACATGTTGGAAGGTGTAGAGTGCTGGCGGTTCACCTGTAGTTATAACGATGACACGAGAATAATAAATTTTAAGTAACCCATATGAAAGAAAAAACTTAAGAAAGAAAAAGAAAAAAACTCATATTGAAACCAAGAGCCATCTCGGTCGTCTGCTTTCTAACAAAAAAAATCCACACCATAATCGGACCATTAATGTAGAGTAGAGATAGAAAGATATAAATTATAAATTCAGACAGGTCAAACTTATAAAACCTCTTTTTATGTCAGGGGTCAGAAAGAAGGATACAAATAGGAGCAATAATCGAGTTCAACGTCATGTCACTATCTGCTTTGCGAGCTTTGAGCACATAGGTGTTATTTTATTGAAGTGAAAACTTCTTTAGGCGCGTTAAGCACTTTTTGGGTGAACAAAAATCATGGAACCACGTCATCGTCACCGAACGATTTCCATGAGCTATTTTTAAAAAAGGAATACTCAAAAATATATTTTTAGTTATGGTTATGATATAAATCCTTTTATCATCGATCGGAGTGCCTACAAAATATGTAGAATTAAATATTGTACAATTTTAACTTTGATATTGTTTTATGTTTCCACATTTGTCGGCAGTTCCCATTAGACTGCCTACGTTTTTAGGGTTCCGTACTCAAATGGTAAAACGGGACCCTAATACTAAGACCCCGCTGTCTGTCTGTCACCAGACTGTATCTCATGAGTTAGACAGTTGAAATTTTCACAGACGATGTATTTCTGTTACCACTATTACAACAAATACTTAAAAACAGAATAAACATATGCAGCTCCCATACAACAGACATTTTCTTTTGCTGTTTTTATAGATAATGTTGCGGAACCTTTCGTGCGAGAGTCCGACTCGCACTTGGCCGGATTTTTTTACTTCTTTCGTATATAACTCACCAACATCTGCACGTCGACTCGATCGCCGAGCATGATCTTCAGTCTGGAAATGCCATCTTGGTCCCCCTCCATAGAGTAGGCCTTCATGTGCACAAGGTTTATGTGCGTCAGCAGTTGTTCGTCCGTGTGAAAGGCTGCGGAAGAAATGGACCTTTGTATAGTCATTGGTAGCGTGGTGGTTCAAAGGCATCAAAAGTCGCGGGTTCCAATTCCAGATTCGTACACCGTTTTAAGTCCATTGATGGACTAAATTAGCATCTCAGTTTGTTTAGTTTAATTACGCAAGAATAACTTCTCAATGTGTACAAATATAAATGTTTAACTATATGACATATGATAAAAATTAGTTCAGAAAAATCTTACTCCTTAATGCCTATCGGTAAACAAGGTACATACGAACATTTATTAATAGAATTCACAAATGTCGGTTCATCCACTTTCACCTGTCTTACTAACCTTCGGAACATAACAGGTTATATTTATAAATTAATAGTTGGTTTTGTCTTTACTGGAAAGAAAAAAGAAAGGTAAAATAAGAAACAACCTATTTGTCGATATCCTACTACTGGACAAAGGCTAAAAGCTTTGTATTTAATTATAGTATTCACAGTAGTTATTAAAACATAGTCCTTGAAGTGACCTCACTGCGGATCGGAAGCTTTAACATGCATTCGAAATAACTCTTTCGATGCAGGTTTCCTCACGAAACCATCGTAACCCGAGCAAGTAAAAAATCATCAAGTCTGGCTGCTCGAGTACATTGAATTAACAGCGAGAGCCCGAATCTTAATCATTCCAAATACTCGTATTTACAAAAAAAAATGTCGCGTACACGATGCGAACCTACAACAGCGGCGCCGAAGCCGAAGCTCCAAATAATCCACAACAATTTCAACTGAATAAGCCTTTAAAAGAGGACGAAAATGCTCCCCGCGTTCCAAGCTCCCCTGCCGTCGAATAAATTGGGTTCTCGAAGACCCCCCTCCGTCCAGCCCCTAAGTACGAGCACCGTCACTCCCCTGCCGCTGACTCCCCCCCCCCCCCGCAAGCACATGCCCAAGGGGATCGCCTAAAATAGGGGTGGGTCTGACAAAGGTCGTCGGGGTTGTACGTCCGCATGCCGTCGCCACAACGAGACGATGGTATCGATCCATTTATCCGCCGGTTTCTATGTCATATTCTATGTCAGATACATTTCGTGATTGGAGATGGAACTATGACGCAAGTATTATGGCAAGTAATACCTATCGCATCCGGTATCGAATTCATTCGCAGAAGTCAACATTTCCAATTTGCTTAAAGGCTAATACCACTTTTGTGTGTGTCCCTATAAAAATTTCATGGGTTGGATCGTTTCGTAAATGCACCACACCACGATGGACTACCACGTCGAATGTTACGCAGTTAGTTGTCAAGGCAACGATATCAATAAGAAAAAGTTTTGCAATAATGTAAACTCACTAGTTTATTTCTTATTAAATATTTGATTTAAAGTGATAAATTGTTTTATAGACACAATTGAAAGCATACAAATTCGCTAGACCAGGTTTATTTTACGTAATTTATTATCATAGCTGCGTATTTACAACTGTCAGGTAGTTATGAAATTAAGCAAAACACTTTCTTTTTAATTTATTTGTATAAAAAAATTATCAAACATATTAAACTGATACAAACATAAACTCATAAAAGTAATTGAATGATACAAACATAAACTCATAATTTAACACAGATCATTCTAACTACATCAGGAGATGTTTACATAATATTACATCAGCTGCTAAAGATGGCACCACGCTTTGGCAAGGGTGTTGCAACACTCGTAGCGTTCTCAAAAACTCTTCCATACTTGCTTTTTGTCCAATACAACTTCGTTCGCCGGCATTATGCCGCGAGAAGACAGAATAAACGCTTTCATACCTCAATGTACTGGTTCGCACAGAAGTGGCTGGCGAACGATATTTCCCTGAAGAATTGTCGTTGATGTTCTGAGATGCTCATTTTTTTTAAATTGTTGCCGTAAATGCCCAGATTTTCAATGTTTTAATTTATTTATTTCGCAACTTACACAAAATAAGCAAATGGACATGAGCTTACGCTCATGTCCACACGCGGCACTTTCGCGAGCTGTATGTGTAAGTGACCATAAATATTCAATTTAACAAGTGTGAGTTAGACTCGCGCACGAATGGTTCCGCACCATTATTTATAAAAATGGCAAAAAAATCATGTCTGTTAATGTACGGTAGCCCTAATTAAATAATTTTTATTGTTTTTAAGTATTTGTTGTTATAGCGGCAACAGAAATACATCATCTGTGAAAACTTCAACTTTCACCTATTTCTAACTATCACGGTTCATGAGATGCAGGCTGGCGACAGACGGACGGACAGACCGACATACAGCATATCCCAAAAAACGAGGTAAATGGTAGATGAAACAAAAAACTGCTTTAAACGGCGTAGCTTCTTCACGCGACATGCTCAACAATTTTGAGGGGCATAATCAGGACGTGCAACCGCAGTTTACAATGGTGGGCTGGTGATAGTGGTTTTGCCGGGGGATATTTCATTAGCGATGGCCGACGACTAGTGTAAGTAGCATAATGGTAAATGGGCATCGATCAAACATCGTATCTGGGTCAGGCCCGTAAGTGGAGGGGTGGTCACCGGGCCCTGGGGAAGGGACGCTCGACTATTTGCGACGCTTGTGGCGAGACCTATGCCCACACTTAGATATCGATTTCAGGGCTATGCGTAGTTACGGGCTGGTGTAGGGGGGGGGGGGGGGGGGGGCAAACTGCCCAAACTGAGCCCTCCCTTAGTAGGGCTTTAGTAACTTTTTGTCGGCCATAATATTTTTAAATTTGATTATGTGAAAGTTGTATAAAGCTAAAATTGAACTTGAAGCCTTGTATGAGCACTCTTGAACACTAGACAACCGACGACTTCAACGGACAAAAACATCTTTTTTTCCCGTTCAGAGCAATAAATACAAATTATAGTACACGATATTATTCTGGCTTCAAACTAGAACTTTTATTATTACGCCACATGAAACGTTTGATATATTGATATTCATATAACTATACAAACCACTAAAAACACTGATCCATCAATAGATAGTAAGATCGATACTCTGTTTCTTCAAACGGTACTAGATATATGAGATAATGAATGATTGATTTATAGACCAGATTTCATCGAATAGTTTTTTTTTATTTTTGTGCTATAATTCTTTATTGATACGAATCGGACTAACTCATAAAATATAGATAGTCAAATTTTTGAACAGGAATATTTTAAGAGCTGATCATTTTGAATATGCTTGCTTGAATTTTAAATAGTTGCATCCGTTAGCTCAATGCCAAAATAGTTCGCTAGGGCGTGGCCGGGGGCTGACGGAGGTAAGGTCTCCCCGGTGCCTGGCAACCCCCCTTTTGGAATGGTGGTGAAACATGACAAGTTAAAACGCGACTCGACTAGTCGCGCCTATATCGGATTGAATTTCGAGTTTTTTTTTAAGCTTATACAATAACGGTATTTGAAACCACTTCGGGCATAAATCGATTAGATTATTTTAACTTTTGATGTGTAGTTGATTGGTCCCCTTAAAGAGGCCTTTTTAAAACGGGCCACCTTTTTTGAAGTTAAAGGGCATGCCAATATGGAGCCCGTACTACAAATGAATTGCTGTATGGAGCTCTAAAATCCGTCTCGTGGAGATCCAACCCGCCGAATTTAGCGGGCATAGGCAGCAGTTTAAACAATCTAAATTATGGTACCATTGATGCGGTATTTCTTGATCGCAATTCTTGGGTTTAATGTGTTAGTTCAGGGAGATATTATTTAGCGGGTTAAGTCGAATTCTGTTCAAAATGTGAGATATTATTTAGCGGGTTAGGACGAACTCTACTTATCCGAACATACAGTATTGAGTCATGATGTTAATTATTAAAAGTCCCTTCATTACTTACATTTTAAATATGAGCAGAGTTGAATGAATGCTCACGACTATTTTAATGAGCCGCTTGATCTAATCCTCTTATTCGGATATATTAAATTCGTAACAGACCAATAGTTTTCTGTATAGATGATATTATTTTTTTAAAGTATACCATAATAAGGTAAATTTTAATTGACAAAAGGAAAACGATCTGGTTATATTAGTTTTATTGAGTCGACAAGTTTTTTGTTCATTATTTATGCGACCAGAATAACATATAGGCTACAATTTATAGAGATTGTATGAATTGTCCAAAATATTACGATAAATGTCAAGTAAGCCGTTGCTATGTAGCGTGTTCTAAACACTTTACAGCCTTATTCGGTATGAATAGCCTTATTAACAGACTTCAAAAGGAGGTTTTACTGAGCTAGCGCGCTAACCATCAACGGCTGCATCGCCACTTACCATCAGGTGGGATGGCAGTCAAGTGCAGGCCAGTTTTGAATTAAAAAGAAAAAAGGTTCTCAATTCGACTGTACTTTTTTTTATGTTTGTTCCCTCATAACATTTTAGTGTGTGAACCGATTTTGATGATTCTTTTTTTTATATGAAAGCCGGTGCTTCCCATGTGGTCCCGTATTAATTTAATTGGAACTCTTGGAAAATCAATTATAAAATGAATACAGAGCGAGATATTTGAAGTCGGTTTTATTTTTCGGTAGAAAAAAAAAAGGTTTAGTATTCGAATTGCCATCGCAGTGTAAAAGAGGAGGAAGGAGTGTGAAATACATATCGTTAATAATTTTATATTAATGCGAGGTGTACTCTGGCTAGGAGGCAATAATTTGTAAGTCCAAACATGGCGATCACGAATTAGAGGACCGACATAATTGGCTTTGTGGTGTCAAGTTGGGTTTGCCTGTTGAAATATATAGTAGTAGATAACAAAGTCCCCTTAAAACTTCAACTGTCCTTTTAAAATCTCGAGTGCACTTATGTCGGGTTTCTTTACCCAACATGCTATAATTTTATCGTTTTAAGAATAGAAAAAGAATACTAAGTAATGAATAAGTAAATCAAAATCATTAACTTATGGCGCGCGACAGATAGGCGACTCAATTGACCGAAAGGCCGGCAATTAAGGAGTCAGCGACACTAACCGCTGAACCATGAGGTCATTCCTTTAGCCCTCAATGGTTATAGTCACGTGTTATTATACAAGACGGCTTATAAATTCTTGCATTGATCTTAGGTACTCAAGGGAAACCTTTACAACTAGACCGGTTTGCTTCCAGGGGGCTTTGCAAAGAAATAAATGATCTCACGATTGGAATATTCCGTTGCATTATACTGTAAAGAAATGTAAGAATGTAGCAAACTAGCAGCCGGTTCACCAGATGTTAAATGATTACCGCCCACATTGCTCTTGATGCGTTGTACCTGCCTCATGCGCCGGGGGGTGTGGGTTCGATCCCCACTACTGGAAAAATATTGTGTGATGAGCATAGTATTTTTCTAGTGTCTGGGTGTTTATATGTGTATAATATGTATTTATTTACAAAAGAAAAGTATGCTTATCAGTTTTCTAGCACCCATAGTACAAGCGTTGCTTAGTTTGGGACTAGAGGACATTGTGTAACAAGAATGTGTGTGTTGTGTCGTTTCAACCTTTAAAAGAGTGGGCCCCAATCGGCATATACAGCGTGTCGTTACCATCGCGACAATAAATGAAAACACATATAGGCGATAACTTTTTAAAGTTGTATTAAACATTTAAATTCTTTAAACATCAATATTTACAGAGTTATTAAATTTTCCAAAACAAAGAATTTTAGAACACCCTTACCTATAAAAGAGTAACGTAAAGTTCATTTGTAAAGGTCACAAAGCATATGAATGGGTTGAATGAATTTAAAAGAGACAAAACATACTGTTAGAAGGAGAGGCTTGTAATACGACGCTGTAGCGCGAGTTATATAGGATGTTACAAATTTTGTTTCTTTTTTACTTAATTAGTTTATTTGAAAAATATTTTTTTATGAATCGACCATTCTCGAATCGACCTTTAGACACAAAAAATTTCATTAAAATCGGTCCAGCCGTTTAGGAGGAGTTCAGTGACTTACACACGTACAGAAGGATTATAGTATATACTAGCTGACCCGGCAAACGTTGTTTTGCCATATAAATTATTTGTAGGGTAGAAAAAAATGTTTGGGGTGGACCACCCTTAACATTTAGGGGGATGAAAAATAGATGTTGTCCGCTTCTCAATCCTGGCCGATATGCACACAAAATTTCACGAAAATCGGCCGATCCGTTTCGGAGGAGTTCAATTTCAAACACCGTGACACGAGAATTTTATACCTATACTTCTATACTATTATATAAAGAGGAAAGATTTGATTGTTTGTATGTCAATACATAGGCTCAGAAGCTACAATATCCCTGCTTGACATAGGCTATATTACATTTAAAAAAAAATTAGGGATCCTTACTAAAACTCCAATAATGTTACTCAAGGTGTACAAAAATTACCTATTATAAATTAAATTAATATTCTTTACATCGCGTTCGCTGCAAAAACTATTGATGATAGAATAAAATAATGTACTACGACTTTGCAGACCATATCATTATTTATAAAAAGTGTTGCATACAGATAGTTAGACAGCATATGTCTAACATATGTCTAACTATTATAGTTATGCCACAATAAGTGTTCTTTTATTTTAAAATTTTGATTGAAATGCCGCCGTTAACAAAGGCTGTTTATTTGTATCTTGGTATTAATCCTTATAAAAATAAATTACTTCATATTTAAGACTGTTTCAATACCATTATAAAACTTTTTGAATTATTAAATTCGGACATTCCATTCCTTAGATTAAGAATGTTAATATAATATAGTATAAGACTTAGTAGTTCTTATAATTTTTCAATCACATTTATGCTAAATTCTGGTAAATTCTGTTCAACATTTGGCAAATTATTTAATACTAAGGAAGTTTAATTTTTTTATAATTTTAAAATGCCCAAAAGATCAAGATCTC